TCCCCCCTTCTCCTCCTCTTTTCCCTCTCCTCCTTTCTCTCTAGTCCACCCTCACACCTCTCTCCTCTTCCCTCTTCCCTCCCCTCCCCCTCTGCTTATTCTTCCTTCTTAAGGCTGCCCTTGATTTCACAGAGATTTGCCTGCCTCTACACCCCACCCCCACCCCCTATGCTGGGATTAAAGGCATGTGCTACATCCATGCTTTCTCCCTTCCTTTGAACGTGTTTGTTGGGGTTTCATGAACCCCCCTTGAACCACCAGGAGACAGGCACGCTCAACATCTTTAATCCTCTCCCAGTCTCTAATGCTGGTCTGTCCCTCACTATTGACTAGGTGGCAGCTCAGGAGCTCTCCCTTCCCCAGACATCTATCAGCAGCAGTCCCAGGAAACCCCATCCAGATGGGAGGTCAAATCTTCCTGTCGATGGCAGCCTTGGTGCTTGTCTGCTCACTGACCAAGGTCCCACATGGTTCAAGCTTGATCTCTGGCCAGGAGCTCTGGTTTGTCTTCAAGTGTCAGGTCTCCTGCCAAGTTTCCTAAGGACTGTCCAAGGTGATCCTGCAGCCAAGCTTCCAGGAGGCCTCTGCATCCTCCCTGCTGCTGCTGCTGGTTTGGGAGTGGTGTTTCATGTGGCCATAGAATTTTAGGATCTTCCTCAGTGTGGATGGCATGTGGCAATCAAAACTAAATGGTTGGTGATGGGTGTGGCAGTGCAGCCTTTAATCCCAGTACTCAGGAGGCAGAGGCAGGTAGATTTCTGTGAGATCCAGGTCAGCCTGTTCTACATAGCCAGTTCCAGGCCAGCTGGGACTACATGGAGACCTTGTCTCAAAAAGAACAAAAACACAAATAAACCTAAATCGTTCTTCTTTCTTTAGGCTGAAGAATGTCAGTCCTGTACATACCACTCACTGTGTAACATTCCTGGGGTAAGCAAGCTGGCCTGCTGTTTCTATCACTTGTCTGTTGTGGATCCTGTTGCCATCAACATGGGTATCTGGATTCCTGTTCAGGACCCTGCATTTACATCCTATGGGCCCCACATGCTCGGGATTTATAGAAATGCAGCCCAACACAAAACTGTAAATGTACTTAAAATGAGATTTCCTAAGACTTTTAACAACTCAGTTGTGTTCTTCTCAAGGAAAACATGTGGGGACAATGTCCTGTTGCAGTGTCAGAAGGTTGGACATGCCTGTTTGGCAGCTCTGTCCTCTGTGCTGTGTTGACACTAAGTACAGGACCTTAAGCCCTGGGGCCTAGTAGGAGGTCTTGCTGGCTCCTCTCTTGGCTCTAGTTTCTGATGCCCCCTGGGATCTTCTCTCTCACACAGGCTTCTGTCCTGGGTGTCGCCTGCTTGAGCTCTTCTGCAGAGGCCAAATCCATGAGAACACATGCTCTTGGACTTGCATCCTTCAAACCT